AGCCCACCCACTTACTTGTCTGCATCTCTATTGCCACAATGGTCACTCCACACACAAACCAGGGAATGCCTCTGAGGGGGCAAGTGGAAACGTTTTTGCCTTTCAATAAGAAAACCCACAAAGTGGGGCCAGGGGCCTCTCTCTGGTTAAAAAAAAAATGGGCTGTACTTATCTGGTGGTGGGACACTTGCCTATAGGCACCATGCTGGTCAGGAGAGCTCTTGAAATTATTCCTCCTGTCTAAATAAAATTCATGCCCTTAAACCAACTTCTCTCCGATTCTCTTATTTTGCCTCTGGTCATTGATAGAACTGTGGGGGACCGGCGGCGGCTGAAAAGATAAGAAGTACGAAATATAAATGACCTTTATTTTGAGAATGTGGGGAGAAACACCCCGACCCCCCGGGGCGCGGCATCTCCAACTCGGGGTCAGCGATCTCCCTGGCGGACACCTGGCTTGGGGGGTGTATAAGTAGCCTGAGCTTAGGGTAGTGCCCTAGGGCCATTAGAGATGCACAGGTATTTCATTGGCGCCATGGGCAGATTCCTAAGGGTGGGGGAGGTAGAGTCACAGGTAAACCTCTAGGGGCGGGAGAGGTTCCGGTTGAGATTTTCCTGGCTACAGTGTCCCGTCTGGGCCAAAACCCTTTCAGTCATCACCATTCTACTTTGCTTCCCCAAGTTCAAGTCTTTTATATCCTCTGTATAGACATCAAGTTTTGGGAAAAAAGCCACACCCACCACAGTGCTGCCAGCTGAGAAGTGGCAGGAGGTCTGTGAGGGCCATGCCTCTAAGAGCATGGCGGAGTACAGGGCCTCAGCTACAGCTTGGTCACAGGAGGCTTACATTTGAGCAGCATCCTGCTTTTGTGTAGAGTGGTTGACCTACAAAGACAAGGATGAAGGCATTTTCAACATTTGGGGTGAAAAGCCTGACTAAAGCAGGAAAGGAGATAGATTCCATAAAACTGTAGTGGTGAGGCTTGGCCATCACTAGACTTTTTTTTTGTCTTTTTGAGACAGAGTCTTGCTATATGGTTCAGGTTGGCCTTGAGCTCTATTTGTACCCCAAGCTGGTCTCGAACTTGCAATGATCCACCTGTTTCAGCCAGGCCAGTGCCAAGCTAGCTACCAGTTTTCTTCAGAATCCACTTAGCGGAAGTGGCTGGCTGCTGCCATCTGCTTGATGAGTGTAAGAAGTCCACTGAGGATGGGATGGTACCGGGAACTAGAAGCCAGCCGGAGCAAGCTGCTAAGGTGGCAGCAGAGCAGGCACGGCTGTGGGGCACCAAGCTATTGAGAGCTCCAGATGTTGGGCATTTCTAATAGCAGCCATGCTGCAGAACTCCTCCTGGGCTGGGGACAGTGGCTGCAGGGAAACCCATCACAAAATCCGAAAAGCAAACAAGGAGGAGGAGGTGAGTGCTCTGCAGGCTGGGGAAAGGGCTGGCTACCTCAGTACTTGAAGCTTTCATTAAACCAGCCTCACTGGCACTCAGCAAAGCTTTGAGGTCTAATTCAAATCTTCAGCTCACCTCCTGGTTATCAGTGATCTGTTTTTTGTTGTTGTTTTGCAGGAATGAACCCTGGACCTTCACACCATGTCCCCGGCCCTTTTTGGTTTTGAGACAGGGTCTAGCTAAATTGCTCAGCTTGGGCTCAAATTGGCGATCATCCCAGCAGCCCTAGAGTGCTGGGATTACAGGTGTGTGCCATCATGTCAGGCTACTAGCAACTGTCTTGATGTCGAGACCCTCTCGATATTATAGACAGCTAAGTTAGATAGAAATTAATATACAATAAGAGGCATGAGAGGGGTTACAGCGTGGCATGGTGGTGTACCCTTGTGATGCCATCACTTGGGAGGCTGAGGCATGAGGATCTCCTGAGAGTTCAAAACCAGCGTGGGCTACATAGTGAGTTCAAGGTCACCCTGAAGTGCATAGAGACACTCTGTTTCAAAAAACAAGCGAGGTGTATGTGTGTGTGTGTACAAAGATATCAAGATTGTGGCTGGAGCTGGGCATGGTGGTGCGCACCTGTGATGCCAGCACTTGAGAGGTTGAGTCAGGAGGACCACTATGAGTTTGAGGCCAGCTGAACTACATAGCAAGGTCCTGTCCACTCCTTTTTCCTCCTCAGAAGAGAAAAAACAGTGTGCCTGGACAAACAAGATGGAGATGCAATGGCCAGGCTTGCTTCCCTCCCTAAGAGATAAACAGCATTTTGAGATTATACTGTAATTAGCACTAGCTGGTCCAGTAAATTGAATTAGGCATCAGACATCCAGAACATTGAACTCAACCTTTGTTCATTCCACATACCCACGCTATGTGACTCATTTTTTTTTTTTTTGAGACAGGGTCTCACTATGTATCACAGGCCAGCCTTGAACCCCTGATGATCCTCCTGCTTCTGCCTCCAAGTGCTGGGATTACAGGTGTGCCCACCAGACCCGGCTCCTTACTGAATTAAGTGTTAGCTAAGTAGCTATATTGTAATCCTATAAATTGACTAGTTTTACCACATTACACCCATGTTGTGACTTTGCTGTATAAATTACTACCACATGAAGAGGTGGAAGGGCCTCACCAGACATCAAATGGCACTGCTTTAGCTGGGGGTGTGGTACACACCTGTAATCTCAGCGCTTGGGAGGCTGAGGCAGGATTGCTGGGAGTTTGAGCTCAGCGTAGACCACACAGTGAATTCAAGGTCAGTCTGAACTACATAGAAAGACTGTCCCCCCCCCCCAAAAAAAAACCCTTCCAAATGCCACTGCTTTCTTTTTTTTTTTTTTTTGTCTTTTTCGTTTTTATCGGTACCAGGGATCGAACTCACGACTGCCTGCTTGCAAGGCAGGCGCTTATGCCGCTGAGCTAAATCCCCAGCCCCTAAATGCCACTGCTTTGATCTTGGATTCCCTAGACTCCAGAACTATGAGAAAATGAATTTTTGATTTTATAAATTATCCAATCTTAGGTATTTTGTTACAGCAGCATAAGTGAAGAGATAGCTATATTTAGCTATATTCCAAATCTCATCTGTCCTTAAGACCTTTCCTGAGGACCCAATTCTAACGTGATTTCATAGGCATTATGGCAGATGAACACAGGTATTTTGGGAGATAATCACTCTTATCCTAAAATATCCCATTATTTTAAATTACTTACATTTTCTTTTGGTTCTTGCTATGAATTTCAGCCTAGTCTGGAACTCACTGTGTAGTGCAGGCTGGCCCCCAACTCTGCAATCTTCCTGCCTCAGCCTCCTGAGTGCTGGGATTACAGGTGTGGGCCCCCATCACCGGTTATTTCTTGTCAGCTTTTCATGGATTTATGACCTTGACAAGATGTATTGAGCCAGCGGTGGAATTAGGGAACTTGTTTCTTGCTAAATGAAAAAGAGAAAGCGCTAAAAATCTGGGGATCTTGACTGAGAATCCAAGATAGTAACTATGAAAACGAGTACATTTCTAAAATTAGGTTTAAGTCTTTTCATAAGCCTGGAAATATGATCCAGTCACAGCACAGTCTGGCTGACTGCAGGGAGACAGACAGTTTAACACACAACTGTGGGGAAGGATGGTCACTGGCTTCAAAAGTACTGGTGATAGAACTCATAATCTCGCGCTTGCCAGGCAGGTGCTTATACCATCGAGCTAAATCCCCAGCCCATTTCAAAAATTTCTGAAAAATTTCCAACCTTTATGAAACGTTCTGTTGCACTACTCCCTTAATTGGACTAAATTGTTCTGTAACCCAGGTACCCAGAGAAGTTTCCACATAGGAGCTACATGCTCTTTTGCAATCCTTTTCTTTTGTCTTTTTGAGACAGGGTTTCACTGTGCAGTTCAGGCTGGCCTTGAGCTCACTCTAACCCAGGCTGGTCTCGAACTCGCAATGATCCTCTTGTCTCAGCCTCCCAGTGCTGGGATTACAGGTGTTACACTTTTCTCTTGAATGTCACAGGAAATTTTCACAGATAAAGCACAAATACCTGGTGTACCTGTTTCAACTCCATGCCCTTGACTCTGCTCCTTCCTAAATCAGCTTTCTTGGGGAAGCCCTGGGACTGCTCTGCCCCATCCCTTCTCATCGGGCCTTACATTAGTGTTTGGGGGGAAAAACATGAGGAGGCCTGAACTGGAAGTGCCTTAGTTCCCTACTATGAACACGTTCAAGTGCCCAAATGTCAGGGGCTGCAGCTGGTGCTCTCATCCAACTTCGAAGGCTGAGATGCCACCTGGCAGGGTGAAGTTATTCCTGGGGGCGGGACAGGGGAAGAAGGCTGGGATGATGAATGAATGGCTTGAGGCGAAGGTCCTTTGGAAAATAATGTCTTAGGTGGTAAATTCAGGAAAGGGATGAACTCGAGCACCGGAGATGGAGCCCGACCGCGGTGAGCGGATCCGGGAAGGAAGTCGGGACGGCTCCACAAGACACTGTAGGCGATTGTGTCGCGACGCACTTGAGACCAGCAGCCCGCGCCAGGCCAGGCCAGCCGGGGCGCCCGGAGGTGTGGACTGCGGAGCTCCGCGGCCCGGGTTCGGGACGGACCCGCGGGGCCCGGTAGTGGTCGGTGGCCCTCACCGCGTAAGCCCTAAGAGCAGGGGCCGCTGAGGTCAGCCGCTTCCTTTAGGTCGTGGCTCGCCTACCACCCTGTGCTGAAAATCAGCGCGATCTGGCAATTTAGACTGTGGATTTTCTGCATCCCGTAAATTTCTTTTTTTTTTTTTTTTTTTGTCTTTTTCTTTTTTATCAGTAACGGGGATCGAACTCACGACTCCCTGCTTCCAAGGCAGGTGCCTATGCCGCTGAGCTAAATCTCCAGTCCCCACATCCCATAAATTTCGAAAAGCGCCTCGGGGCTCTGCACCACGCAGCCGCTTCATTGCGGAGGCGGCTTCTGCTACCACGATCCACCAATCAGTCACCTGCGGCCACTTCCGGCCGCCAGCTCCGCCCTCGCCGCCATCTTAGGTGAGGGCAGAAGCACTTCCGCCCCGGAACTGCTCCGCGCTTCCCGGGCTGGGCCGACTGGCACCGAGAGTTATGGGCGAGTACTTGCGCAGTTGAGGGAGAGTGGGTGCAAGGGTGATGGCGAACTTGCTGGCCAACACTTGTAACTCTTTTTGGCGTATCTGAATTTTTTCCTTGTCAGAGAAGAGCTTCGCTGTAGGGCCAGTTAGCGTAAATAGGCACCCTTGGTCTGATTGTCACTCCTCAGGACACTTGTATTACCGTCTAGGCAATAGCAGGGCCAGGACAGGAGCCGACCTCTGGCGATCAGGTGATTTTGCTGTCAGTGGGCCCTTTTTCCTCCACTTCACTCTGATTTCTCGCTAAGCACGAGTCCAGGGCTCAGGTTGGAGCTCTGGCTGGACACACCGCCTGAACACGCTGAGTTGCTGCTCTGCCGGCCAAAGCTGTGGAGCCTTTCCTCCTGGGAAAAGACTTTGCAGTCGGCTGGGTTGATTATTGTAAACTGACACTTGCTGTTTGATTGTCATTCCGTCCCTATATATCATACTTGCGAGGGGCCGGGTATATAGCTCAGCCGCAGGGCACCTGCCTGGCAAGCGCAAGATCACGAGTTCCATCCCCAGTATTAAACCAAAACCAAACAAACCATTTATACTTGTAGTCCAGCCACGCTGGTGGCTGAGGCACGAGTTTGAGGGCAGCCTTGGCAAAACTATCATCCCCCACCCCCGCCAAAAAAAGAAAGAAAGATGAATGGTGGGGAAATTGTTCTTCTTCTCCCTCCCCTCCCCCACCTTCTTTTGAGGAAGGCTCTTGCCTTGTAGTTCAGGCCAGCCTTGAACTCACCCTATAGTCTAGGCTGACCTAGAACTCCAAGTGATCTTCTTGCATCAGTTTTCTGAGTCCTGGGATTACAGGGTGCTCCAACCATACCCAACACTCGTTTTGTTAATGTGAAAACATAATTTTTTTGTTGTTTTAAGTGTAGGAAAATTTATTGGTAAAAGGAATGGAAAACAGGAATAGCTTCTGAGAGACAGGAGGGGAGCCCAATGGGTTGTACTTTTTTTTTGGGGGGGGGACGGTCTCTCTCTGAGGCTAGGGCTGCCTTGAACTCAGCTATGCAACCCAGGGTGGCCTGGGACTTGCATCAGTCCTCCTGCCTCAGCCCCTCAGGTGTTGGGATTACAGGCACGCACCACGGTATCTGGTTAGGGCTGACTGCTTAGGTATTTTCTCTTTTGCAAACTGTAAACTCTAGGTAAACCGTCATTATAGGCAGACAGCACCGTATTTCAGTCCTGTTTTCTCTGATCACTAGCAGCTATTGTAGGATGTGAGTCTCACTGCACCCATTGGAGGAGTCTTGCATAATCTGGTACCTGTCCTCAGGCCCTGGGTGGCAGGTCTTGTGCAGGAGAGGCCTGCGTCAGCTTCTATCTTTGGGGTAACCTCTGTTCTCTCATGGGAGTCTTTTCTTCCAGATATGCTGAGCCCCAACCTCTGTGTAAACAAGATTGTGTCCTGATCAGGAAGAAATGTTGAGGCACCGTGGGGCTAACTTAGTGGGCAGAGCCCCAAGAGTTATAACAGGTACAGGGGCTGTAGGTACAGAAGAAAAAGTGAGACAGGACTGGCCTAGGATTCTGACATAGAAGGCCTGGGCTTGGTTTTCTCTGATACTGTGTGAAACCAGCTTCTTAGAGGAACAGAAAACCTCGTGGTAGCTGAGGGGAAGAGGATGCAACCAGGGTTAGAAACTGTCAGACATTCATGTAATCCTACTACTCGGGAGGCTGAGGCAGGATGATCTTTGCAAGTTTGAGTTCGAGACCAGCCTAGGCTACAAAGAGAGCTCAAGGCCAGCCTGAACTGCATAGAGAGACCCTGTTGAGAGAGAGAGAGAGAGAGAGAGAGAGAGAGAGAGACAGAGTCAGAGTCCACTGGACCACACTAGGGGGTGCCCCATGTTTAACAGCGAACATCCCATGCAACCCTAAGAGTAGGGTAGGCTCAGTTCTAGTCCAAGGCTTTGGGACAGAGAATCTGATTCTGCTTGGATCACACATTCCCTTAGCCCAATCAGCTGTGGGCATGAGAGGTGTTAAACACTGCCACCAGGCTGCCTCAGCGGAAGTCGGTAAGTGGCGCTATTTTCTTTTAAAAGGGTGGCGCTCCGAGGCCCTTAAACTTTCCCGTCTCGCAGGGTGTGGTGGCCCACACCTTAGCACTGGGCAGCAGGATTGCTGCGATGTGGAAGTCAGCCGGGGCTACGAAGTGAGTTCAAGGCCAGCCTGAACTACACAGGGAGACCCTGTCTAGAGGGTGTGGGGCGGGGGGAGAAAGGAAAAGGTACACACAGGCCACGCGGGCGGGGGGAGTGACACCAGGGATGGGAAGACCGGGGCCAGGAGGAGCTGCACTCTGACTCCTCCCGGAGAGAAGGTTCAGGTGGGCCACCTCCCACCGATGACAGCGTGCCTTCCGGGACAAGCAGCTGCAGGTCTGCTGGAGCCATTCCAGGACCGCTGTCCCCACTTGAGGATTTTCACTTGTTTATACTGTTTTCTTCCCTTCCCATTCACAAGTGAAACTGACCAGGGCCCTCTCCTAGGCTTCCTGCCTCACCCAGCCAGGTATGGTCCCCTCGGTTCTTCATGGCACACCAAAAGAACTGCAAGAAATAAATTTGTATGCACTCTGGGCAAAGAATATACTAATCTTTTCGGAAAAAAAATCTCTTTTTGAGACACAAATACAAAAGATCCCATCTGTAGAGATCACTCCTGGCTTCCGCTAGGCTGGCTTCCAGATGGCAGCAATCCCACTGCCTCAGTAGGTGATTACCTAGGACTTCAGTTTCTTCCAGAAGAAAGGCAAGCCAGCAGTCACAAAGATGTCACACTCCCATCATTTAAGCCCACCCTTAGAGCTAAAACGTACTTGACAGGAAGCGCTTAGCTGACACTGGATCTTTATGGCAGGGGTAAAAGAACAGACCCTGGGACCTGCACGGGGGCGGGGCAGGGGAGAGGTCTTTGGAAGCAGCACTTGGCTGCGCAGTACTACTTGGATCTTAAGTGCAGTGAGGCCAGGATGGCCCGGCAGGGGCCCTGTTAGTTTCCACCTACAGGGAAAAACTGCTATGTGGAGCTCAAGCTGTGGAACCATGGCTGCGCCCTCCCGCGGGAGGACAGCATGAAGGGGCTGCTGGAGTGTCCCTCCTCCCTAACAGGCCGGAGCCCTGCCTCGGCGCTCATTCTTCAGGACTCTGTCCAGAGGGGGCCATTAAGTACGGGAGAGGAAGCTCTTGACAACTGCGCCCTGCTTCCTAGGGCTGCACCCAGTGCTGCTTCCTTCGGAAGCCAAAAGCTTCCCGGGGAGCAAGTGTTTAGGTCTTCATGCCTCATGGAAAGTGTCAGGGTATTACGGGAGGGACGGACGTGCTCGCTGGCCTGCACTGGAAGGCCCTGGGTATTACCCTAAGCACTGCGCTAAAAAAAATAAAAAGCCAATCAATGTGTTGGGAAGAAAGAATGCTACAGCAGGATATTAGCTTGTTAGTCTCTCAAAAATACAGATTCCTTAAGAAGTATAACAAGGAAAGGTAGCTTTAGGGTAGAGCACTTTGGTAAACCCTGCCTTAACTAAGTGACCTAATGTTTTATAATCAAGGATGGGACAACTCAGGTGGTAGGATCCTCATTCTGAGTCTTTTATGTCTTTACAGCATTCTTGCCAGAAAAGTCCTGTGATTTCTAATGTGGCAAGAACTAGGCAAGTCCAAACTGAAGGACACTGCAAAGCAACTGGCCTGGATTCTTTAAAAAGGTAATGACTGGGGAATCATTCCAGATTTAAAACACATGCAAAGTAACTATAATGCGTCATTGTCGAATGAATCTTATGGGGCAAAAAGTCCAGCTATAGAGGCTGAGGATTTAGCTCAGTAGATAAGCACCTGCCTTGCAAGCAAGCAGTGGTGAGTTCGATCCCTGGTACTGATAAAAAAAAAAGGAAAAAGAAAAAAAAAAAAAAAAAAAGTCCAGCTGTAAGTGGCAACATTAGAAATATTTGACAGATCTACCTAACATTAATGTACTACATGTGGTCACTGTACTGTGGCCATTTAGAAAAATGCTCTTTGTTTTAGAGGATTAAGCTGAAGTATTTATGGGATTAAATGTAAGAGTCTCAATGTCTGAAAATAACTTCCGAAGTAGTTCAGAAACAAATATGGTAAAATGTTACCAACACGTATACTGGGGTGATGGGCACTGTGTATGGGGGTTTCATATATATATGGATTAAGCTGTTATAAAACAGCAGGGACAAAAAGCCCATCTTCCTTTACAATTCTACCTTTATGTGACTCCGAATGGACTCCACTATACTCAGTCAGCAGACATTTACCAAAACAAGGCTCAGCTGGGTGTGTTAGTGCTAGCCTGCAATCCCAGCAGTCAGGAAGCAGAGGCAGAAAGATCGCTTCAAATTTAAGGCCAGCCCTGGACTACACAGAGAGACCCTATCAAAAAAGAAAAAGGTTAAGGAGGCAAAAAGCACATAAATAATATTAAGTAGTAGTTAGTGGTAATTTGTTAGCCTACGTTTCCTTCAGAAAATATAAACTTACAGCAAGTAGGGCACAATTTAGAGAACATTACTTTACCATCAGAAACAATGCCACAGGTTTTTTTATATAATTTAAATTCTGAAATATAAAAGTCTATAGAGGCAGGAGACACACTGCCTGCATGTGAACGAGGATTTACTTTCCAAAAGAAGGCACCACTGCAAACCCTTACAACTGTTTCTTACAGTCAGATGAGCCTGTTAGAGCCATTCAGTGCACACTTGCTGAGGAGCAGTGGTCCGATGCTAAGCTTGTGGGAAGGGTAAGATGCACCTTTGCTTTTTAATTTCTAAATTCAGTAATTCAGATTGTGGCACCTTTTTTTTTTTTTTTTTTTGGACAAGGTCTCACCCTAGTTCTGACTGGCCTTGAAGTCACTATGCAGCCCAGGCTGGCCTCCAACTCACAGCAATCTTCCAGCCTTAGCCTCCAGACTGCTGGGATTAGGGTGTGCCACCACACCCAACTAGCACCTTATTTTTAAAGGCAATCAAGCTGGCTGTGGTGGTGTGTGCCTGCAATCACAGCAATTGGGAGGCTGAGGCAGGAAGATCTCTGAATTTGAGAGCAGCCTGGACTACATGGTGAGTTCAAAGCCAATCTGAACTACATAGTGAGACCCTGTCTCCAAAAAAAAAAAAAAAAAGAAAAAAGAAGTAGACATTTTAATGATCAGTAATTTGCTTCTCGATAAACCAGATTAAACTTTACAAGTACCATTAAATCAGCAGTTATGAAGAACAAAATGTCAGTGTATAAACTACCTGCCAATAAAGATCAGTTGCTTATTTTCTCTGAAATTGACTGTTTAGTGTCCCCACCCCCCCTTTTTTAAAACTACACAGAGATTAGGAACAACTGAGGAGCCAGGACAGTGGTGGCCCAAGTCTGTGTTCATACCACTTGAGAGGCTGAGGCAGGAGGAGTGAAGCTTGAGACCAGTCTGGGCTACATAAACAAGTTCAAAGCCAACCTGACTACATAGTGAGGCTCTACTTCTGAAACAAACAAAACATGATGGAGAAAGTCAGGGGTGTGGTGGTACATACATACTAGTAATCCCAGAATTTTGGGAGGCTGAGGCAGGAGGGTTGCAAATTCAAACTCAGCTTAGTTAATTTAGGAAGACCATTTCTACACAAAGGAAGGAAGGAGCCGAGAATGTAACTGTGCTTTGAGTTTAATCTCCTGTACTGAAAACAAAACACAAACAGAGAACAACTGAGAACCGACTGGGTGCCACGCCTATGCCTGTTACATTAAGTACATGACCGGAAAAGAGGCCTGTAACATCTGTGCTCTACAATCACACTTGAAATTTCCATTTGTCCTAAATCCAAACAGTTAAAACTAGAAAGTCCACTGCCAATCTGTAAAACTATTTTTAGAATTTGATAATGTACCTAAACTGGCTGGTACCACCCACTGGTCACAGTGGTAATCTAAGAACAAAGGAGAAGCTGCTTTTCTTAGCTCTGGAAGGTGAGTGGAGGGAGGGAGAGGACAGGAAAATGGCAGGAGCCAGTCACGCCTGTGTCAGGGGCCCTCCTTGTTCTGCTCTGGCACCGGCTTCTGTCACAGCACCAGCCTGTGCTGGGTAGCTTCACACTGATAAAATGACATTCTGTGTCAACAGGGATTTTTTTTAATTGAAAGAAAAACTATTCAAAACAGATGGTAAGAAATTAGACTTTTATCAATACACAAGTAAGCTTACTTAAAATCAGCTCAGTCACATATTTAAAAAAGTTGATAACCTCTCAGTAACAATGTCCCCTCCTGCACGGGTGTCAGCAAGCCTGCAGTCCCTGAGAAACATCCGTGCACGATGATCCAGGTACTCGCTGACGCTCTCCTCTGGACACCAGCAGATGGTCACAAACAAAACCATCTCTGCCTGGCCGAGGTCGAAGATTTCACATAAAAGCTTCACAAAATGTCTCTGAAGGAAACGCGGCAATGTCAGAAGAGTTCCAGCACTTCAATTGAATACAAGCCTCTACTATTCTTTTCTTGATTTAATTTCTGTAGCTCCCGAAAACTTACTTCAATTTTGTTGAGCTCAGAATAAACACTTATCTGAAAAAAAAAAAGTAGTTTCACAGTAAGTTTTACCCTAACTTCTACACATCAGTAAGTTTTCCATGATTACTTACAATTCTTCAATGAACAACTTTCTTGAGGGTGCTGAAGACTGAAACTAGCCCTTGTGCATGTTAATACTCTAACCACCGAGCAAACCCACAGTACCTCCACAAACAAATTAAAAGAATAAATTGTAATTTAGTGACACAGATAAAATCAGGATGTGAGCCTAGGGGTTCCGCTCAGTAGCACAGCACCTGCCTGGCAAGCATGAAGTCATGAGTTCAATTCCTGCATACACACACACATCAAATCTTCGATGCATTAAATAACCACAAACCTGGGATTTTACAAACTTGTAAAGGTTTATCAGTAGTCTTTTTGCTTCTGGTATCATTAAGACAACAGTAAAATTAGCATCCAGAAGTAGACATATCCAATCCATAATCTGAAAACAAACAGAAAAAGGAAAGTTAAGACTCTTAAATTCTAATAAACTGTTGTAGGAAAAATAAGTATTCATCAAAGTATGAATAATTTAGAAGTGAATTTCTGAAAATGGTCAGCTTTTATACTTGTTATAGGCAAAACTGTATCTTCTTTTTTTGTTTTGTTTTTTATTTTTTTAAGACAAGGTCTTGTCAATGCATTTCAGGTTAGCCTTGACCTCACTTTGTAGCCCAGGCTGGCCTTGAACTTGCAACCTCCTGCCTCAACCTTCCAAGTGCTGGGACTACAGGAGAGAGTCACCACAGCTGGCTAAACTATGTTTTCTTCCTAGCATGAACCTGCAGCAGGAAAGCTGTGATAACAGTTAACATATTCCTGCCAGCCTGAAGCATCACAGTGGCACACATCTGACTGTCCCATCAGGCAGCCTTACCACTGTCACACTGTACAAATGGATCTAATTACTTTTATTCATCTTTTTACTAATAAGATTAATAAATGCCATCCAATGGGATCATCATGCACGTACCCACAAGTGGTTCCAGCTGCCTGACAATGAGACATGAATTTTTAGCCCCTTGTGAATGTCTTAATCCAAGAATGAATACTGATATTTTTATTTTCAACAATTTTCAGCCAGGTGTGGTGGCGCATGTCTGTAATCCCAGCACTTGGGGAGCTGAGGTAGCAGGATCCTTTAGAGACTAGCCTGTGCTACAAAAGTGAGCTCAAAACCAGCCTGAGCTGCATGGAAGAACCTGTCTCAAAAAAAAAAAAAAAAAAAAAAAATAAATCATTATCTCTAGCTACAAAAAGAACCCACTCATCTATTTTGAAAGATACAGTGCACTCCAGTGATAGGGGGTTGTGTATCATACATGAGCTCCCAGAAAGTAAAACAGGTTACACATTTATGCAAGTATCCCATGCCACTCATGGTGGTGCACTCCAGTAATCCCAGCACTGAGAAGGCAGGAGAGTTGTGAGCCCACTTTGGGCAGCCTAGCAAGACCTTGTGTCAAAATAAAAATAGTGCTGGGGATTCAGCTCAGCAGCATAAGCCCCTGCCTGGCAAGTATGAGGTTGTGAGTTTGATCCCTAGTGCCAAAAAACAAAACAAAACAAAATAAAAAAACTCATTACAGTATAACAAAATAAAAAACAGGCACCAAAAATGAAACCAGCCGGGGATTTTGCTCAGTGGCATAAGTACCTGCCTGGTCATGAGTCTGATCCCCCGTACAAAAAAAAAAAAAAAAAAAAAAAAAAAAAAAGTGTGCTATGTATATGTACCAATTCCATGCAAAGAGTGCAAACATACACTGAAAAAAATTTGGGCTGGGGCTGTAGCTCAGTGGTAGTGTGCTTGCCTATCATGCACAAACCCCGAGTTCAAACCCTAGTACTGCAATAACAATGACAACAAAAAATACTGTATTTGATAAAAAGACCAATTTCCTTAATATATAAACAATGCTTTAAACACACACACACACACACACAAATGATCTGAGTCGGTAGCTCAGAAAACAAACTAAAATATGATAACATTTGTTACTTATTTGTAAAGAATAAAAAGCTAAACAGGTTCAGGTGACAAGAAGAATGGGGGAAATAAGACCTCGAATCTCAGTGGTGAGAGCTGTCACAGTTCTTCTGAAAGGTAGTGTGGCATTCTGAAAACTAAAATACACATAGAGATTCTGCTGGACGCGGTGGACCATTTGAGAGAGTGAGGCAGGAACATTGCAAATGTGACATCAGCCTTGGCTACACAGAGATCCTGTGTCAAAGCAAAACAACTGAAAGAATTCTTGTACCTTCACACTTTAGGTTTGTTTATGTTGCCCAGGCTGGCCTCGAACTCAGCAATCTTTCTGCCTGAACCTCCCATGTGCAAGAATTACTGTTCGGCTTTCGGGATTGCAGAAGTGAGCCACCACACACGGGCTGCATTCTCTATTTCTTAAAGAGATGAAGGGCGATAGCCATGATGGGTATAAACCCTCCTTGTCCTCTCCCCACAAGACTGAGGAAGTTGTTGGGCAGAGTCACAGTGAACAATCAGAAGTTTAAACTGTGTAATACAGAACTGTGGATTTAGAAAACTATCTCTACACCGAGAGACCTCCATTTAAACTGCCAGTGGTCTGCATATGTAACGAGGCAGGAGATTCACATGATCTTCTCACAGAGGGGACAAGGAGAAACCATCGCTGACCCCAGATGCTGCCACCACATACAAGCTTTCATCCGGAGTGAAAATGGTCTGACCTGGCTCAGAGTTGGAGGGTGCTTTCCAGGAAGGGTCATAGTGGCATTCTCACTGCACTTCAGATAAAGGAAGTACAGATACTGCAGAAATAGCTAGAAGGGCGGAAAAAGTCAATTTATTATTTTGGCAAAATACTTCTCTTTATTTATAAATCAAATAGTTACTGGAAAGAAATTTCAGAGGTTGTTCACTGTAACCATACATCAAACAATTAGGCCATCTACCTGGGGGCACCGAAATGAATAGTCTCTGCCAACACTGAGGAGCTCAACTGGTGTGATCAACAGTTTATTCTATCTGTAAACAAGGTGGAGAATTTTTCTCTCAGCGACTGTCTTAGTGTCAGTCACTCCTCACTTGGCTGGCTTAGCCTGGACCTTGGAAGTCTGGGAGAAGTGACACACCAGGTGCTACCACTCCAAACCACTCTAGGCCCGAGGCACTGCTTTTCACCGTGCAGGCCGGGCGCATCTTAGTCTTACAAGAATCTGGTAAGCCCCCACAGCCGCCGAGAGTGAAGCTGCACAATTTACCTCAAAACTAAGGTCCCTCAGGACTTCTGAGAACACTCACTGTGATGTCCTGGGCAGGGATATCCTTCAGGTGAGGCAGGAGAAACGTCTCACTGTACGCTGCATGAAGAACGGCATTTCTACTTCAGACTAAAGGAAAAATCTTACTCTGATAAATAAAGTTAGGCTGTGCATTGTTGTTCATGTTTGTACTCTCAGTTGCTGGGGAGGCTGATGCAGGAGGTCTGACAGTTTGAGGCCAGCCTGGTAACCCAGTGAGACATTACCTTAAAACAGTAAGGATTGGAATATCGCTCAGTGGTAGTGTCCCTGGGCTTGACCCATAATAAAGAAAATGTTATTCCACTGAGAACATGAGTTACCTTTCTAAATTTATACAGAAGTACTACTTATCTGAACACTTCTAACTCATTAACATTTATCTGGAATACCTCAGTATTATAAATATAGTAATTAATATTTGTTTAGACTACTACTTCATTTTTTTTTAAATGAGACAAGGCCTTACTATGTAGTGTAAGGGCCTTGAACTCACTCATGTAGCCCCCAGGCTGGTCTCAAATGCATGGTGATCCTCCTACCTGTCTCTTAACTGCTGGGATTACAGTAATGCCCCAACATGCCTGGCTAAGATACTACCTTTTAGACATTATATAGATTTTAGTATAGCTGAACTAATATCTTCCCTATTGTGTGTGTGTGTGTATGTGTGTGTGTGTGAGACAGGGTCTCACTATGTAGTTTAAGCAGGCCTTAAACTCTCCACGTAGCCCAGGCTAGCCTTGAATTTGAGGTAATCCTCATGCTTCAGTCTCCCAAGTGCTGGGTTTATATGTAACCATGCCCAGTTTAAACTAAACTAAGAAAACAAACTTAAGTAAATCATTTGAATGTATACATGAATATAATCAATTTTTAAGCAGAAGCTGGAGGAAACAGAAGATAGAATATCCTTAAATTGTCTAATTACTCCTTCATTTTGCTTGGCATGGGATTGTACGCCTAGAAAGCCACGCGGGAGGTGGAAGCCAGGTCCAAGGATACAGGAGAGCTGCCCTCTTGGGGATCACAGGACACGAAGCAGTCTCTTCTGTTGAATCCCGAGGCTTTTCATTTAACTCCTGATTACAGTTGCTGCAGTTACTGTCTTCAGGATTGAAGCCATTTCGAAGAATTTCAGGTTGTTCTTCCATTTTCTCCTCTTGTTCAGTATTACTATAATCAAAAACTGACTCCATATTGATATTAATTCCTTGAAGACTGTCATCACCAATGCTATGATGTTAATTGAAAGCAACAGGTTAATTCTCATTCCTTGAACTTTCTGTGGAAAATTCATTTACCAAGCATTCAAAATTTTAGGAATTGGGGCTGGGGGTTGAGCTCAGTGGCACAAGAGACTGCCTGGCAAGCATGAGGTCGAGTTTGATCCCCGATACAAAAAAAAAAAAAAAAAAAAAAAAAAAAAAAATTTAGGAATCAATATAAGAGATTCTTAAAGAAGAAGATCTCCAGATTCTAACTTACCTCAAGAAGAGTTTTAAGCAAGCACAGGTGACAGACTCAGGAATGTCAGGGAACTGCTGCAGACAGAGCTGTAGCATCTGGACATCTGTTTTTTCTAAGGCAGTGTCCATTAAGCCAGGACACAAGCTAAGAAAAAAAATTAGGAAAATTTTTATGTTGATAAAAAACTCAACTGTATAAAAAAAAAAAGGTCAAGAGTCATGCGTGTAAAGTCTGGGGTACACAGCATCTACCTGTAGGACAGCACGTGAGTTTGGACAAGCTGAATTAGACAGTTCCGGGGGTAAAACGATGGCTCTGCTTTGCTTCTTTCCAGGAGTCCTGTTATTATGTCCCCAACTGCAGTATGAGAGTCAGGTGTCCACTTAGCCAAAAATTTACGTAGTTCCACCTCAATGTGTTTTTCCGAACCATTCTGAAAAGGCAGAATTGAAGAATTCCGTCTGGCACATTAATAAATGTCATTCTGAATTTAAAACTTCCTAGCACATTTTCTCAAATCACTAACAGTATAAATGCATTGTTAAGAAAAAAGTGCAAAGGGAAAAAAAATCAAGGGTTCAGAGATCCTATGTTTTTGGAGGAGCGAGAAGAATGCTGAGGATTGAACCATAGGTGTGCTCTACCACTGAGCTACACAGCCCTGCATCCCCCTCTTTTTACTGAGATAGGATCTTGCTAGATCACCTTGGCTGGCCTTAAATTCCTCCTGCTTCAACCTCCTGGGTAGCTGGAATTACAAGGGTGTACCACTATTCCAGGATGAAATCTAATCTCATGATCCTTTAAGTAAAATTAATAATAACTGCCCTGACTGACATTTTATTTGTATATGAATATTTATTCACTAACCAATATTTAGAAATTTGCACCAAGAAATTCAAATTTTCTATTTTCCTATTTTTTCTCTCTTTTTTTTTTCTTTTTCTAGAAATTCTTATTTTTAGAAAGCTTGGGGCTGGAGATTTAGCTCAGCAGCATAAGCACCTGCCTTGCAAGCAGGCGGTTGTGAGTTCGATCCCCAGTACCGAAAAAAATGAAAAAAAAAAAAAAAAAAAAAAAGAAAAGAAAGCTAAATTACAGGCCAACTGGAAGTACATGAGTGTAACCCCAGAACTCAGGAGGTTGAGACAGAAGGACTGCCAGTTTGGAGTCAGCCTGAACTACAAGATCCTGTGTCAAACACTCCTCACCTCCAATTCCACAAAAACAACGAAATGTAAATTATGTAGTCAGTACAGAGATCAGTAAGATACCATGTCAATACCAGAACAGTAATCTAATGAAAAGACTGTGAAAGTCAAAGTAGCCAGTTCTGGACAACTGTTTCAACCTTAAACTGTAATACAAGCTGGGCGGGGTGGGACTGTAATTCTCTAGCACTTAGGAGCTGAGGCAGGAGGATCACCCACAGTTCAAGGCCATTTTGGAGGACACACCAATATCCAATCAGAAAAAAATAATATATAACACAAAACTGGGTGTGGTGGCCAAATCTATACTCTTAGAGCTCCAGGAGGGTCAGGCAGGAGAATCACAAATTCCAGACTAGCATGGGCTATTTAATTTACTTTTGGTGCAGAGTACTGAACTCATGACCTTGCCCTTGCCAGGCAGCCCTGTGCCATTTAGCTATATCCCCGAGCCTGGGCTATTTAGCAAGACCCTATCTCAAAATTAAAAAAAGCTAGGAATCTAACTCACAGGAAAGGCCCTAGGTTCAAGCGCCAGTACCACACACACAAAAAGGATGTAACATAAATGTTAGTTATAAAAATGTGCATTAAAAAGGTAAAATAATGGAACCTCTAGTCTTAATTTTTCGAGGAATCGCCATGCTGATTTCCGTAACGGTTACACCACCGGAATAAAGTGTTTTTTTAAATAAATAATGCTTGGAAAACTGGCTTTGCACATGCAGATTAAAACTAGACCCTTATGTATCACCATGCACTAATCTAAAATCAAAATGGCTCAGAGGTCTAAATATTAAAACTAAATCTGCCAGAAGATAGAGGAGGTAAAACTATAAAAGACAGAAGTGTAGGCAGACTTTATGAACAAAACTCACAGAAAATAGCTATTTGCACAGAAAATAGCACAATAGTGATCTCATCTGATTTAGTTTTACACAGCAAAAGAAACTACCAATGGAGTGCAAAGGCAATCCACAGTGTATGAAAAAAAATCTTTCCAGTTGTCCTTTAAAAGATTACTTAGAACATACAAAGAAAAAATTGGAGCCCCTAAATTTAATCCAAAAATCCAAATCCAAAAATGGGCATGCAAGACAAATACACACTTCTCAGATATACAAACAGCAAATAAATATCACTGGTCATTCAAGAGATGCAAATTAAAGATCTTTTTTTGCGGGGGGGGGGGGGGGAGTCCCAGGGGTCAAACTCACAACCTCACACTTGCCAGGTAGGCGCGTTAAGCCGCTAAGCTAAACCCACAGCAGTGAGAGATGCAAATTAAAACAACACTGAGATTCCACCTCACCCCAGAAAGAATGGCTATCATCAAGAAATGAACCAATGGCAGGCGTGTAGAGAAAAAGGAATCTTTTTCCACTTTTGGTTGGAGTGCAGAGTGGAGATTCATCAAAAAACTAAAACTAGAGGTTCCATTTGGCCCAGTTACTCCCCTTGTGATCTTCCTGAAAGAATTAAAAGCATCATACCACAGTGATGCATGCACACCCATGTTTATATGTGCATGTTTATGAGTTTGTAATAGCTAAATCTTAGAAACAACCCAAATGCCCCATCAATCAATGAATGGATAAGGAAGATGTGATTTTTTTTTACACTATTTTTTGTTGTTGTTGAGACAGGGGCTCACTATAGTTTAGGCTTGCCTTGAACTTGAGGTGATCCTCCTGTCTCAGCTTCCTGGGATTACAGGTGTGTACCACCATGCCTGGCTGTTTTTTTTCTTTTATATAAAAGAGTACTAAATTGAGACATACATGTTTAAATACCACACTGTTTCTCTGTTGTGAGAAACAAAAAGAGTAAAAGAAGACCAATATGTATAGTAGTTATTGGGAAATAGGAAGAAAATGTTCAAATGGGAAGGGGAACAAGGGAGGGCAAAGGGAGAAAGGGGCAGAAAAAAAAAGTATGGAAGGAAAAAAATCACAGCAAAGCCTTTATAAATAAGGAGAGGTGGGTTGAAGGAAGCATTGGAGAGTGGGGGAAAAAAGGGTTAGATACATCACGTACAGGTATAACTTTTCTATCATGAATGTTCTAACTTTTGTTTTTTGTCTTTTTTACGGGGGACTCGAGCTCAGGACCTTGTGCTTGCCAGGCAGGAGCTGTGCTGTTGAGCTATTCCCTAGCCCTTGCTTTCTGTCTCTGAGACAGGGTTTCACTATGCAGTTCACACTGGCCTTGAACCTACAGCCATCCTCCAGCACCAGCCTCCTAAGTGATGGGATAACAGGTGTGTACCCCCACACCTGGTTTGATGAATGTTATTATGTGTACTTACTGTTATAGCATGGCATAACTGATGCCATCTTGAGCCCTGCCTTTAACTAGTACCCCGTATTTGGGAAAATGGAAAATTACTCAGAGTATGAGTCCCATGAGAAAAGCAGATTGAGTTGTACCCATGGGATAAAAATTAACCTGCTCAACAAAAGAAGCAGGATACAGGTGTCAACCAAAAATTAATGTTAAGATTCTAGCTAAACTGTTTCCAACAGAATGTCTTTTGTGATTCTCTCTTTTAGAAACTCTGTAACTTTCCAGTATGGTGCCACTTTGTTTAGACTCTGTAATGGGGGTCAGGGTGGGAGTGGCGACTGTATACAAGTGGTCCTAAGCTCAGCTAATTAAATTCCCAATTTATCATCTTGGCTGCTTGGATTCCTATATTGCTGTTCACAAACCCATCTCACTTAACAAATGTGCCAATAAAAAAATTAATAAAATGCTGAGTGTGATGGTACACATCTGTCATCCCAACACTCAGGAGGCTGAGACAGGAGGGTCACTTAGAGTTTGAAGCTACATACTGAGATCTTGTGTCATAAAAAAAGGGCAAAAAATAGAATTTCCTCTAGTTACTTGATATATATATGTATATATATTTTGGGGGGTGTATTTCCAGTGTTTTTATTTACCTTGATAGTTGATAAAAGTTGTTCAGATACTGCAGCTTCTGATACTGCAACTTCTGGCTGTAAACTTACTTCATTTTTTTTTCTTCTTAACTGGAATTAAATAAACTGATTAGGACCTTCACAGAAAAGGCTATTAAACATTTGTTAAGACTATGAAACACTCTGAAAACAGCAATACATTTCTGTGGTAATCACACATTTGTAAAAAATTGTCATAGAGAAAAGTGGTGATATTTCAACGTTGAAAGTAAGCATCTTAACTGTGTTCATTTGTCCAATCATCGCTTCCAATTACTGAACTTACAGTTCTTCTTAACTGCACTGAATTCTGGGATCCAGGTCCACATCCTGGAGATATTTCCCAGTTTACATGGTGGGGCATGGTTTGAGTGCCTGGAAAAAGACAAAAAATGTAGTTTCTAGACTCTTTTGACCTACTGTTATTTACCCAACCAACTGGAAAACAATAAAACAATAAAAAAAAACAAATACTCATGCACAATTTGAGAGAGGTTTTTTTTTTTTTTTTGGTCTTTTTGAGACAGGGTCTCACTATGCAGTTCAGGCTGGCTTTGGGTTCACTTTGTAGCCTAGGCTGGCCTCAAACTTGCAGGGATCCTCCTACCTCAACCCCCCTACCCCCCAGTGCTGGGATTACAGGAGTGCACCACCACGCCTGGCTTTTTGAGAGAGGCATTTTTCAAATTCATGTAATTCTACTAACAACTTCACTGGCTGTGATCCCCACCATCAGACAGCTGAGGTAGGAAGACCACCTGTGAGTTCAAGGCGAGCTACACAGTGAACTCAAGACCAGACTCAGTTACATAGTGAGACTGTCTGCCAAAAAAACCACAATTCTACTAACAACCGCAAATCAGTCAAGAACTATATGCCAAGCCATGCAACATGAAGGTAAGAGAAAGCCCGACAGTAAACAAGGACGGCAAAGGTGTTCTGCCTTGAGGACTCTCCCATTGCCCCAAGGTCAGAAGAGCACTGGCATTCAAAACAGTGTGCAGCAGCACTGGCCAGATGACTGTCACCGAAGTAGTTGCCTGGATCAAAAAATTTCAGTGAACAGAACTGTAAACAGAAGGCTACAGGATTCTACATATGAAGCTGGGGGCTAATAAAATTGCTAATGTTAACAAAACAAAAGGACAAATACCTGGATCCTGAGTATGCTTGAGTTTTCCAAGAGCACCAGCTAATGACGACACTCCACACTTGCATGGAACCACGGTTAGACATTTTCCATGTAGCATAAACAGATGTTCCCCATAATACCATAGCTGCAAAGATGTTATCAAGACTCTAAGCACATTTTTCTCTCCTATAAATTTAACTCAAATTCTTATTATAATAACTTACTGTGTGAGCTATGTTACTATAGTAATAAACAAATCAAAGTGAAGACACTTTCCAAAACAATGTGATAAAAAAAAAAATACGGTGAATACTGCTATCACATGCCATCTAGCAGAAAGGCCAACTCATGAAACATTACAGGGGGCATTCTTTTTTTTTTGGTATCAGGGATTGAACTCATGACCTCATGTTGCCAAGCTGGCACTTATGTCCCTGAGCTAAATCCCCAGCACCACAGGGTGCATTCTTATCTACCTAATTCATCAGACTTGGCACCATCTCACTAAGTAGTGCAAGCTGCCTTGAACTTGCTCATGAAACCCAGGCTGACCTTGAACTCAGTGATCCTCCTGCTTCACTGTAATCCCAAATCTGTGAGTACACCTTCTTAATGGGGATAGGGGAAAGTTTGAAGCATAATTTATAACATATTGTTAATCTAGAAAAATCTGATTAACATATACATTTAAAACAAATGAGGGGTCTGGGGATTTAGCTCAGTGGTGTAATGCTTGCCTGGCAAGCATGAGATCCTGAGTTCAACTTCCAGTACCCCGCTCCCCAAAAATGAATTACTTGAAATTAATCCTGTTGCTAGTACACAGTTATTTTTTTTTTTTTGGTACTGGAGATCAAACTCTCGACCTTGTGCTTGCCAGGCAGGCACTTATCCACGGAGCTAAATCCCCAGCAGTACACAGCTATTAACATGGTAATTTCCAAGGTTATTATAACAAAACTGTAATGACATATGAAGAAAGAAGAATCAAACATTATTTATAAGCCAGTGTGGTGGTGGGAGGCTGAGGCAGGAGGAACATAAAAGTAAAAAATAAATTTGGTAAAAGAGTACAACTATTTAAAGAAAAACCATTTCTTTAAATACATATGAGAATTACGGAGAATTTTGGTCTCTTATTTTTTGACTGGGTAGAGGACTGAACCCAGAGAACAATAAACTGTATTATTATTCCTTGTGTCCTTTATGTTTTGAGATAAGTCTCCCAGCCCGGCTGTGACTTAATCTCGATCTGACTTCACTGGATTAAAAATACCTAGTAAATTAGTAAAGCGGTCTCTGGGGTGACCGGGTGAGCTGCAGTAGTTGTGACCTTGGGACCAATCCTGTCTGCCCCTCTACAGCACTGCTCCATTCCCGCTCCCCAGTGGCCATGAACTAAGCAGCTTGGCACCAGGCCATCCCTGCCAGTCGTCAGTCTCCGGAGACCACACACTAAGTCCAGCTGACTAATACACTGGCTTTGAACTTTCCATCTTCCGACAGAACTCCTAAGTAGCTGCGATTACAACTGTGTGCCACTATGCCTGGCTTCACTTAGCTCTTCATCCTCTAATTAAATTATCAACATCCTGCTGGCCTCACTGACATCCTATTTCATTATGAACATGCATTTACTAATGCCTTTGCTAGGTACTGCAGTACAATGAATGGAGCAGAAGGCAGGTAAGCTCAGTGGTAGAGCACCTGCCTAGCATGCACGAAGTTGAGTTCAATCCCCAGAATCAAAGAAACAAACAAATAAAAACAGACAAGGAGTTAATCCTAGCACTCTGTGAGGTAAGGCAGGAAGACCTAAAGTCAAGGCCAGCCTGGGCAAATTACCAAGTGAGACCCTATCTCACAGTTGTTTTCTGTTTGGTTTTGTGACAGTCTTGTTGTATAGTTTAGCTGGGCTTTGAACTTCACTATGTAGTTTAGGCTGCCTTGAACTCACTTTGTAGCCCAGGCTGGCCTCCAACTCACAGCAATCCTCCTGCCTCAGCCTGCCAAGTGCTGGAATTATAGGAGCCTCAAAGTTTTAAAAAAAGGGGCTGGGAATGCAGTTCAGTGTAAAGACCTTGGGTTCAATCCCCAGTACTGAAAAAAGAACAGAAAGAAAAAGCAGAGGAAAGGGTCCTTAGCTGGTGTGTGTGTGTGTGGCACTGGGGATTGAACACAGCACCTTCATACTACGCTACATTCCCGGTTTTTTAAAAATATATTTTTATTTTGAGACAGGATCTCACTAATTCAGTAAGCTGTCTACACTGGGTTTGAACTTACGATCCTCCCAGAATAATAAGATTACCTGTCTGTGCTACCATGCCCGGCTACTTTAATTCTTTAAGTATTTCCATGGCAACATTTAACATGTAACCTAAAAGATTAATTTATTAGGAAAAGTAACATTTTTGGAACATAATTTAAAACACAAAAGTGACCAAGTGAAAGAGCAGCTGACCTAAAAGCAGTTATAATTTAGTGCTTTAAAAGCAACAAACATATCCCCCTGGTAAGTGGCGGGTGGGCCAGGGAGAGAGCAAGTCAGCGTCACCCGTGAGCCTACTGGAGCTCGGGCTGAGAATCAAATATCATATATATATGATATGGATATATATATATATCTCACCGCTTAGCCAATGGATGGTGTCAGGACAGCCGGAGTTGATTGCAACCAAGACACATAAAGCACCTAAATTCTTGTATTGTTGGGTTGATTATGCTGACTTGGGGCCAGAGGTCTGAGCATTCCTTGGGAGGATGAGCGTATGCAATATAGCAAATATGGGGATTTCCTTCTGTCTTTTCTTTGAGAGCAAATATTGTTTTCACTGTTTTGCTTTGTTCTGATCAACTGTCTTTCTCTAGACAATATACTGTTTTGATAGGTTTTATAAATGTTCTGTTTTTGGTTTGATTTTGCTATACCTGATTGAATGGACAACTACTGTGAAGATAACAAGATACACTATGGAATCTATTATTGTTATCCTGCTCTGAAGTTCTGTACCAATTTCACTGCATTGTTTTGATTGGCTTTGTTCTGTCTTGTTCTGTTGTATTTTACTACCTTCAAAAAAAAAAAAAAAAAGTAACAAACATAGAGCTGAGTATGCTGGCGCATGCCTATAATCCCAGCAGCCCAGAGGGTGAGGTAGCATTTGCTACAGGTTTGAGGCCAGCCTGGGTTATGTAGTTTGAGATCAGCCTGAACAACACAGTGAGACCCTGTCTCAGGAAAAATAAAAACAAAAACAAATAGCAAATATAGACAAATAGCAAAATTTTTTTTTTTTATCAGTACAGGGAATCAAACTCATGACCTTATAAGGCAGGCGCTTATGCCACTGAGCTAAATCCCTAGCCAAGACACTCTTAAAACATTAAACATAAAAACATTAAAAATACTCAGGTAGAATTTTCTTTTTTTCAATCATACTGACATCTGAAGAGATTTCTTCTCTCACAGACTATTTATTGGCGACAACACTAACTAAATTTTAAAAAGTTTTTAAGTAAAGAAACTTACTTGACCACTGGTTCCTTGTGGTAACTCTTTTGAAGTCTGTAATGTTTGAAATTTTATGTTCCATATGGAGAGGCATTCTATAAAATAGAAAACAACATAGAAACATAGACATAGTCCCTAAGAATATACAGTATCTTGGGGCCAGGAGTCATAGACACAAGCTTTGTTTTATTAAACAAAAAAATGGGTAATCAACCCAGTACTCAGGAAGCTGAGGCAGAAGGATCATGATGTGTTGAGACCAGCCTGGGCTGCAAAATGAGTTCAAGGCCAGCCTGAACTGCATAGTGAAATTCTGTCTCAAAAAGAAAGAGTAATGAAAAAAAGTGAGTATTGAAGGAGTTAAAAAAAAATAAAAAGGGGTGACTGCAACAGGAATTCAAACAAATGAGAGAACACATGGCAAGAAGTAGACTTCAAAACCAGGCATGCTGGCACACACTTACAATCTCAGTATTCAGGAGACTGAAGAAAGGGGACTGCCATGAGTTTGAGGCCAGCCTGAGCTACAGAGTGAGAGACCCTTTCTCAAAGAGTGTGTGTGGGGAGTAAAACATAGACTTCAAAAGTGAGCTCTGACAAAGGGAGTCTTAACAGTTGGTTAGGAATCTGCAATAACAGAAACAAGAAAGAAAAGCCCATGACCAGATGGCTTTGCTGATAAATTCTATCATTTAAAGAATTAACAGGACTGGGGATTTAGCTTAGCGGCATAAGCACCTGCCTTGCAAGGGCACAGTCATCAGTTCAATCTCCAGTACCAAAAAAAAAAAAAAAAAAAAAAAAAAAAAGTCCCTAGTAAAGAATTAACACTAAATAAATTCTTTCAAAATGCAAAAGAGGAAAAAGCACTTCTTCCCTTCTTCCATAGGCCTGTATTACTCTGGGACTAATGCCAAAGACACCCAAACAAACAAAAACCACAGAACAATATATTTTGTAAGTACAGATATAAAAAAGAAATCCTTAAGTAAACATTAACAAACTGAGTCAATAGAATATTAAAGTTCGCAACCAAGTAGAATTTATCCAGGGATGGAACTAAGAAAATCAACTAAGAAAATCAACGAGGGTAGTCGATCACATTAATAGAATAAAGAGGAAAAAAACCTACATGATTATCTCAGTTGCTATAAAAAATTTGACAAAATCCAACACTCCTTTAGGATAAAGACACTCAGAAAATTAAAAATAAAAAGATTATTCAACAAAATAAAGGACATTTGGATGTGAGGCAAGCTGGCTGGCCCAGAGGGAGTCCTCTTCCTCCCTCACTGCTCTGTGTATGCTCCTTCTGAAGCTATGAAGGGGACAGTCATTTCCACAGTCAAGGGTATGAGTTTAAAAAAAAAAAAAAAAAAAAAGGTGTATTAGGAGCCATACTACCTTGCTAGACCCTCCAAACAAGTTCCCAAGATAAAGGGCATCTATGAAAAATCTATATTATTATCATATTCTATGGTGAAAAGACTAAAGCTTTGTCTTTAAAATGAATACCATGACAAAGATATACCCAACATCCAAAGTTAAAAGAGAAAAAGTTTATTTTGGCTTCATCTGTAGAGGTTTCAGTCCATAGCTGGGTGGCTCCAAGGCAGGGTGGCATGGCAGAAGGCCATCATCTAGGAGAAACACTTCATGGTGGGCAGAAGGCAGAAGCCAGCAAACTACTGACAACAACAGGAGCTTTTTTCTGTTCCTTTTATACTTTGTGTAGGTCACCAGCTTACTGCGGGTGCAAACCAATCAGTAGACTAACTTTATAACGGCACATCCTTAATCTCAGTCCCCTTAATCTTAGCATTATACCATGAATCAGTCCCAGCATCAGTCCTAGATCCAGCCTTTGCAAAGTCCCACCTGTGACCACAAGAAGCTTTGGGGGGACATCTAGATACAAACCGTAACAGCAACAGAGCAGGACAAATAACCCCTAAAAAACCAAACATAATTTGAATGGTACTGAGACAGCTGAATAACATGCAAAGGAATGAGGTTGGATTCAGTTCATATCATACCCAAAAATTAATTCCAAATGGATCAACAACCTAATATAAGAGCTATAATAATGAAACATGTTGAAGGAAACCTAGGGGTAGATTTTTGGGTTTTGCAGTAAATTTTTAGGTGTGATACCAAAATCACAAGCAACAAAAGAAAAAAGAGATTAACTGGACTCTATCAAGGTTAAAAACATTGGTGCAGCAAAGGACTTTATCAAGAAAATAAACACAGAATCTAAAGAATGGAAAAAAGTCTGGAAAGCATAATAAGCCATACTTAAATAGACCTCTCCAGTAAGATATATGAATGACCAAAAAGCACAGGAAAAGATGTTCAATATTATCAATCAATAGGGAAATACAAATCAAAACCACAATGAAGTATCACTCCACAACTACTAGATTTTTTTTTTTTTGTCTTTTTCGTTTTTATTGGTACCAGGGATCGAACTCATGACTGCCTGCTTACAAGGCAGGCACTTATGCCGCTGAGCTAAATCCCCAGCCCCACAACTACTAGATTGACCATAACCCAAACTATGGAAAATAGGGCTGGAGATAAGTGTTTGCCTGGTAAGCGTAAGGTCATGAGTTCGATCCCTAGTACCAAAATATGGAAAATATCACATATAATGTGCAATAATTGAAAGGAACCCTTGTATAATGTTTGTGAAAAATATAAAATTGTTCAACTACTATAGAGTTCTTCAGAGAGTTAAGCACCAAAAGGTTTTAACCACAAAGTGGCTAAAACCTACTTTAGCAGTTCTTCAAAAAGTTAAACACTGGATGGAGATGAGGCTCAGTGGTACAGCACTTGCCAAGCATGTGTGAGGCCCTAGATTTAATTCCTAACACTGAGAGAAAAAAAAGTTAAACACTATATTCAAAAGAATTAAAGCGTGTTTTTTTTTTTTTTTCTTTGTACTGGGGATTGAACTCACGACCTTGTGCTTGGCAGGCAGGTGCTTATGTCGCTGAGCTAAATCCCCAGCCCCAAGAAAACTTTTTACAGACAATATTAACAGTGTGGATGAACCTGGACAAAGTAGACTAAGTAAAAGAAGTCAGACACAAGAGCACTGTATGATTCCAGGAGAATGGGGAGCAGCTGCTCAACAGGTACAGTGTTCTCTTTAGGGCGGTGAAAATGGTTTAAAACTAGACAGAAGCAGCAGCTGTATAACATGGTGAATGCACTAAAGGACACTGAAATATTCACTTTAATATGGCTAACCTGTGAATGTTACATGAATTTTACAGTAAATCAATTAAAATAGATGGTCAATAGCTAAGAGAGGGATGACACTGTAAAACATCATTTAAGGAAATATTATGCAGGTATTAAAAAAACAATATAGTGATATGGAAAGATCTCTAAGTATTATGAGTAGGTAAGTAAAAGTATAATAGTTTATGCTAACGCTTATATAAAAAGATCATTGAGCCAGGAGTGGTGGTACACGCCTGTAATCTCGGCACTTGGGAGGAATGAGGCAGGACAATCATTTTTTTTGATATTGAGGATTGAACTCGTGACCTCATGCTTGCCAAGCAGGCACTTGGGCCGCTGAGCTACCCCCCCGCACAGCAGGACAACCTTTATGAGACTTCAGAGCCAGCCTGAAGTGAGCTGGGCAATAAAGTGAGTTCAAGGCCAGCCTGAACTACATAATAAGACCACAACCAAACAAACAACAGAAAATAATAAAGAAGGAGAATATTTAGTAGTATTTACAAACAAAACCAACAACAGTAAAACCAAAGCCTCTGGAAAGGGACGGAAAACTGTAGCAGCAGTTCCTGGCTTTTTCTCCGAGGTGGCTGGGAGAGCGGTAGAGGAAGGAGAAGAGGGCGGATGACTGCGGAGGGAAGCGCACAGTGTAAAAAGGTTAAGAGCTGAAGAGTGCCAGGCTGCACGGTACCAGAGTTAGCCTGCTGGGGTCAGCAGTTAGCTGACGCTTCACTGGCTCCTCTTTTGTAGGGCAGGGACGAGAGGAACTGCACTTTCTCACGCAGGGTTGCTGAAGTACATGATATGAATAATGAGAAAATGTATGTGAAGGGCCTGAGGATCCTCTTGCTGTTGACCAGCAGTTACTGTTTTAGTAAGTAGATGCCAGGTGAAGGCGGTAGTCCACATGGACCCCAGCCCGAATAAAAAGGGTTCTTCACCAAAACTGCAAGAAAAGACTGGTGCAAGCGGATGGGGCATAGACTGAGAGAGTCGAACTGAGTTTTAGGGCACAGGGCTTTGTACTGACAAAGATTCAAAGCATACTATTCGTTCTGAGGTTGTAAGCAAGCTGTCCAAAACCAGTGGATTCCATTCTGTGAGACATCAGTAAGAATTCAATCTATATTGAAGACCTTTCAAAGTTGGTTTTTGTGTGTGTGTGTTTTTTTTTTGGTACCAGGAATCAAGTTTGTGGTTTTTTTAAAAAAATTTACTTATTTATTTATTTATTAAGTTTGTGTTTTTTTGAAATATGGTCTGGCTATGTAGTTCACGTTGGCCTCAAACTCAGGGCAATCCTTCTGCCTCAGCCTCCCAAGTGACAGGATTACAGTGCATGCCACCATGCCTGGGTAACCAAAGTTTCAATGCCTGATGGGTATTTTGTGGCTGACATTTTTATTTTTTATTTTTTAGTATATTATAGTCATGAACATGGAAATGGTACAAGGAAGTGTTGATTAACAGATGTAGAATGAAATAAAAGAACCATTCAAGAAGTAGAAGGTTACAAGAATAATGAGAGTCATGATAGAATGAATTGAGTAGTACTAAAAGAGGAAGAGAAAAAGACTACAAGGTACAGTTTGAAGGAACAGGCACCCTCCTTCCATGATGACTCGTTTGGCAAGTACTCCACCACTGGGCCAGTCCCAGCCCAGGAGTTCTTAACTGACTGGATTTCAGTTACCCTTAGATGACGGCCGCGGAGGTCCTAGGACTGCTACATGATCTTGATCCAGGATGGTGAGTGTGACACCATTTGGAGGAATACCAGACACAACCGCCTTGAGCAACAGTGATCTAACTAATCTCTGATTTTTTTCTGTGTCACTCGGATATATTGGTATTAAGGTTTCATATATACATCCATCAGAGCCTGTGGAAACAAGTATTTGTGGTTCAGTAATGGGTTAAGGACAGTTTTGCCTAAGAAACTAGAATCAAATCACTATATTACATTTCTTGTTACTCAGTCTACCTGAAAACCATATGAAATTTTTTTTTGTAGATCAACAGAAATCTCTGAGTTTTATACTAAGGATTTATGTGATCCTCTAGTTCTGACAACCTTCAATATTCGTTATACTAAACTAAAATGCGAAGCATATGCCAATTTCTTTCTTTTCTTTTTGTCTTTTTGAGACAGTGTCTTGCTATGCAGTGCAGACTGGCCTTGGGCTCACTTTGTAGCACAGGATGGTCTTCAACTTGCAAATGACTGTCCTGCTTCAGCCTCCCAAATCCTGGGATTACAGGACTGCGCCACCACACCTGGCTTTTTAACGACTGCTACTAACAGCTGCGCATTGTAAAACTTCATAATATGCCTAAAAAAAACAATAGGCAAGTGCCTTAACCAACCCTATTCTATTACTGTCTTTGACCACATTTCTCATTCACTGTTCAAAGAAGGACAGACTGAGTCTAACAGGTGGAACAGAAGTATGAAGCACTCAATGTCAAGCAGGTGTTTTATGTTCTACCAGTTTACTCTATCAAAGAACGTGGCCTTATCAAAAGGATAAAAAAAATTTCCCTTTTCACAGGTATTATATTATTTATGCTTACGGAAAACTTTAAAACATGAGTTACAGAAATGATGTCTGAAAACTGTGCTTTGTCTTAAGGTAAAGGCATAAATCCTCAGCAGGAAGCACAAAAACGGGAAGACGGGAACAGAAAACTGCAAGACTCAAAACTACACTAGCCCATAATATCCTCTTATCAAAAACCGCCAGAAGCTTAAAGAAAACTTACTTAATGACATTAAAAAGATAAATTTCCGATCCACATAAGCAGTAAAACTCAGTGTAACAGAGTTGTCTTCTTGTCCAAGCAAGAGAGTGTATTTGCTTAAGTTTCGTGAGTTGAACATTTGCACATAAGCAAAATGATTTCCATCCTGCAATAAGAGGGTAACTGTATTTTATAAATATTGCCATTTCAACCAGCCACAATTAACGTTAAAATTAGAAGTTTTCACTGTATTCTAACTACTTCAATGAATACTTAACTTCTTGTCCAAATTAAATTTAAAATATTATAAATATTCAATTTAGGCATAGAATTAATTCTAACTAATATACTTTAGTGTTTAAAAATATTTTTAAAATTTAAGACTCTTCTGAAATACTAAAATTCCATTTTTGTCTTAAAACTAACATAGCAATTTGAAGATTTCACCAAAGGCACCAGAAAGTAAAGATACTACTTACTTTTTCAGTAATAAAAACTAAGACAGGATGCCTATATACCACAAAAAACTTTGTCCACCTAAAAATAGAAAAATTTCAAAACACAAAAATCAGCTGAGACAAAAATGAAGCAAAATTTAAGAAAACATTATTTTTTGGTGCCAGAAAGAGACAACAGAGAACATATACCATGGGCAATTAATTAGTAGGCGCCTGTCAGTGGTCTCTCTGAATTAACTGCAGGACGCAGGAAGGTTCCAAAAGATAGCAGGAGTGCTGTGCTCAGTGCCTCCCAAACCTAACTTGACCCCTCAGTCCCCTTCTCTCCGAATCACTTTTGGGACTACAGTTCTAGGGAAATTTTAGGATCTCATCTGCCTACTTCAAGTGACAGAGCCATGGGAGACTGATGGCCTCATAACCCAGACAGCACCGGGAGTCTGTGGGGACGTGATGGCTAACTTAGAGAACTTTCCCAAACACAGCTGTGTATACCACAGAGGCAGGTGTCAGGTCAGCGTAAAACACAGCTGTCACATTGTCCACTTACTAAACACAAGTCTGCACTTGGACTTTTAGGAAACGTGATGAGCTAATAATGATCGGAGAGATGTGAGATCATGACATGTCCTTCTATCACTTAGGTGAGTCATTTTCTCAGGTTTATTCCAGAATCTGGAATGAGCAGAAGTCTCACAGCACTATTATGATTCACCAACAACAAGTTGTCCTTTTCTCTAGAGAAAAAGGTCGTGATTTGGCAGGAAGGGCAATGTAAAAGAAACAAAATGATTTTGGAGTCTTGGAATTATCCATTTCAGCTCAAAATAACTGACTACCGAGTTCTCTGTTACTGGCAGAGGACTCTGTGACCATGGTTTCCTCAATCACTTAGCATCCTGGCATCTTTTGGGGGGTGTTTGGTTAGCAGCTTCTAAGTGGTTTTACTAGGTCTCTCTGTCTCTGTTGGTGAGATGCTGGGTGCCCCTCTTCCACTGGGCTGCAAGACCAGCCCTAGGTTAATTTTCTATGCTTCTGCTTTTAAATTTTAATTTGTGGGTGTGTGTGTCTTTTTGAGACAGGGTCTCGCTATGCAGTTCAGGCTGGTCTTGAGCTCACTTTGAAGCCCAGGCTGGTCTTGAACTCATAATGATCCTCCTGCCTCAGCCTCCCGAGTGTGGGGATTACAGGCATGCGCCACCATGCCTGGCTATGTTTCCACTTTTGAACATAATGAACATGTAATACTACTTTCATCTTGGTAAAAATTCACTTGCAAATGTTAAAACTTACTTAATCACTTCTCCATCGGAGAGAACCGTTTCAATTTTCTGCTGGGGCTCTGCGAGCAAGGCCTCTAGCCCGCGAGCAGCGCCGCTCTTGAACAGTACCACAGGCTCTGTTCCTTGGATTGAGTGCACCCTATGTACCTCAGCGGACAACTGGAAAACATGAAAACATTTTTATTCTAAAAATTTACACCTAACATAATAGGTTAAGGACACTTACAGAAGGCCTATTTATTTTTGGTAATGAGGATTGAATCCTGGATTCTGCACGTGCTAGGCAAGTGTACAACTACTGAGCTACATTCCTAACCCTTTTTATTCTTTGATTTTAAGGAGGGTCTTGATGAAGTCATAAAGGCTACCTCAAACTGGCAAGTCTGATTTATTTCACTAATGAGTATGTTCTCAAAATGCATCCACTTACCTATAAGAGCCTCAAGTTTATGATTCTTTATGGCTGAGTTGTACTCTACTGTATAAAAATACATCTTTTAAAAAAATCTATTCCTTGGTTGATGAGTATTTAGGTTGTTTCCAAGACCTAGTTACTACAAATTGTATTGCTATAAAATGGGTGCAAATATATTGCTGTGGTATGATGGTTTTAATTTTTTCTGGGAAGATACCCAGAAGGGGAATACCTAGATTGAATAGGACTTCTAATCCTAGTTTTTCGAGGAATCTATACACTAATTTCCAGTGGTTGCACCAGTCTGCACTCCCAACAACAGGGAAGAAGGGTTCCTTTCTCCCCAGAGCCCCACTAGCATTTGTTATTGATTGCCTTCTTGATTCTTTCTGGCGTGAGATAGCATCTCAGTGTTGTTTTAATTTGCAACTCTTGAATGACCAATCATGTTGAATATTTTTCATATATTTATTTGCCATTTGTATTTCTTCATCTGAGAAGTGTGTATTTATCTCAGATGCACATTTTTGGATTGCACCTTTGAATCTGGAGGCGGGTTCAATTTTTTTCAATTCTTTGTGTGTTCTACCCTGTGGACTGTCTTTTCACTCTCGATTTTTTTGATGTGCAACAGCTTTTTAATAAGATGAGGTCCCAGTTGTTGATTCTTTGAAGTATTTCCCATGCAGTCTTTGTTTTTATTCTGCCTATTCCTATGTCTTCAAGATTTCTACCCCGACTTTCTCCTCCAGTAGACTTAGTGTTTCCATTTTAATATTTCGATCTTTGATCTCCTTTGACTTGCATGTAACTCCTATTCTCATTCTCTCTTTTCTGGCCCCTTTTCTCCTCCACAGGTAACCATTTTAATTCATTTTTGAGTTATCCATGGTGAATAAGGGAGGTCAGAGGAGAACTTGGATCTCCTAAAACTAGAGGAAAGAAGTACAATAAAGCCACTAATGCAACTCTGGTGTTAAGACCAATGCCACAATTGTAAATATATCTATGAAAAAGTTAACCCTACATCTGGGGCTAAAAACACTCTGCTGAGTAAAATTCAGGATCATTTTACTGCAAAGTAAATGAAAATGGACAGACGTTTAGGGTCTAGGCAACACCTGCACTTGCCAGGCAGGCGCTTGTGCTGCTGAGCTGTATATCCGTGGCCCTTTGTTTTGTTTTTGAGATAGGGTCTTGCTATGTAGCTCGGGCTGGCCTTGCACTCACTATGTAGCATAGACTGTCCTCAAACTCACCGGGTTCCTCTTGCCTCAGCCTCCTGAGTGTTGGGATTACAGACGTGTACCACCACCCCTAACTTACTCTATGTTGTTCTTAAAAGGCACAGCATATAAAACTTGTAGGATGCAGTCTACCTAATCTAAAAAAAAAGGTAAGTTCACTTGTTCTCATGGAAATTCACTATCTCAGTTTAACAACATAAGACTTACTGTAGGCTTTATGCTGGGCATACTGGTACAAGCCTCTAATCCCAGCACTTGAGAGGCTGAGGCAGGAGGATGGTTGTGAGTCTAAGGCCAGCCTGGTCAACATAGTAAGTTCAGGGCCAGCCTGAACTACATAATAAAGACCTGCCTCAAAAAGAGGGAAGGGGGCGGGGATACAGCTCAGAGGCATAAGCACCTGCTTGGAAAGTACAGGGTCCTGAGTTTGAGTCCTAGTACAAAAAGGAAAGAAAAAACGGTTAAATGAAAGAGAGAAAAAAAAGGCAAAGACTTACCGTAGCTTTAAATACTTTATCCAAGTTTACATCTTCATGGTTCCATATTCTCAAAACCTGAAATCAAAGCATACCAGTTACAAAATATCCCATATTCTATTTACATATAACAAACCCAACATTTAACTTGTGTTGGACATATTATTACATACAGGTTTTAAAGCTCACCTTATTATCATGTACAACAATATGCTCTCCAGTTTGAAAGTTGCACACAGCTGGACATGTTATGATTTGACCTTGTTTCACTGACCAGCTCCCCAAGGGTTTCTGATCAGAAACCTAATGAAAATAAGGTAAATAAAATATTCAAGAAGTCAATTTCTGGCATTAAAGGCAATTAATTTACAATAAAAATTCAAATAATATCCTTAACTTCCTAGTATCAAAAAATTAGCTGTCACAAGCAATCTAGATTCTATTTATATATCTATAACATAGTCAAAATTGATAAACATGGAAGAACTGGGGTTGCCAAATGAGGAAACGGTTAATGTGTACAGAATTTCAGTTTTGCAAATGAAGAGTTCTGGAGATGGATGGTGGTGATGGCTGTACAACAGTGTGACAGCACTTCATACAAATGACTACAAGTATAAACAAAATTAAGATGATACATTTTCAATACATTTTACTACAAGAAAAAATTTAAAATTTAGCTGGCTGTGCCTGTAATCCCCACACAGCTATGAGCCAGCCTGGGCTAGTTAGTCTCAAAATATGTCCGTATCCTACTCCACACATACACTGGGAACTGAACCCAGGACCTTTGCACTGAACTACATCCTCAGCCCTTTAGATATTTCAAAAAGTAATGAGAGGGCCGGGGATTTAGCTCAGCAGAGTAAGCACCTGCCTGGCAATCGCGAGGTCATGAGTTCGATCCCGGGTATAAAAGAAAAAAAACATTAATGAGAGACAGTATGGCAGTGCATGCCCATAATCCCAGCACTTGGGAGGCTGAGGCAGGAGATCACTGAATTCAAAGCCCGTGCTTACATAGTGAATCAAAACCAGCCTGAACTACATAGTGAAAGAATGTCTCAAAAACAAAACAAAAAGTAATTAGAATGAAAATATAACTGTCTTTAAAATGAAAATAGTAATAATTGACACGTTGTTAATACACAGATACTGTATTTTAAAAGATTATTCCATTTTGTGTCTCAACAGGGACATGTTAAATTAAGCAGGGCTACCCAAGGATCTACATCATTCCCACGCAGGAACCGCAAATCCACTGGACAGAACAGGCAAACTGTCCCCAAAACTTTAGGCAGATAATTAACTTTCTGATAACACAAAAATATGTTCAGCGGCCCAGATAAAAATAACTGTTTTCTATAGGATCACCAAAAGCAAAGTTAAGTGTGCTGAATCAGAAACTAGGATGAAAAGGAGGTGGGACCGACGATTTCCTGGGACACACTCCAGGATTTCTAAGGTGAGCCAGAGGTGCCCACACACAATTTAAGACTCTTTAACAGATTATCGTGAAACCCCCGCTTCTTCACTGGCAAAAAGGAAACAAACACATAAACCAACCCCGCAAAAGCACCCAGGCAGCGGGGGATAGTGTATAGACACAGAACTAAAATATGTTCCCACTCTGTCAGTGTCATCCTTAGCCACCCTGCTTCCGTTCGAGCCTTCAGTAGGCAGCAGAGTACCCGAAACCTCAGGAAATCTTAGCAAGGTCAACTGCAGATTCTCAGCAAAAAGCACAGGCTCCCTTTCCTTTCCCAGCCTTGTCCCACGTGCACTGCGACGCTGAGCCGCCTGCAGCTCGGAAATGTCTCTTTGCAGACATACCACCCTGACTGTGGGCCCTGTCCAGCGTCCCAGACAAAGCAAACTGGGTCTCTAAGAAGGACAATCCACAATCTCTTAAGCTGTGACAAAAATCAAGCCTCAGAGAAAGGCTCAGGAAAGGGCGACACGGCAGCCAGGCGTTCATTTCCCTCTCACCTTATAAAGGATGACAGTCCTGCTTCTGTCCGTCACTAGAAAATGGTCTGTTTTGTCGCTCTCTTCCACACCTAGGAGTCCGTCAGGCCTCGCGCCCAGGGTTACTGCAGACAACGTGAACTCTTCTTCCAGGGCTGCCATTTTGGGCACACCTATGGCCGGTCGCGCACAGTCCCAGAAGGCCTCGCGCTTTCTCTCGCGACAGCGAAATGGGTAACAGCAAAGCGTGCGACCCCTGGCGGCCCGGAGGGCGGAGCGGAGCCGCCGGCCTCCGGGTGGGCGGGGCCTGGACTGCGCATCTAGACTCCTCCTCCCAAGAACGCGCCGGTACGAGTCCCGGATGTGCTCCAGGTCCGGAAAGTCCTCCCTGTTCCCCAAATTTGCTGCTTCCGGGTCTGTGTGTGAGGTTTGAAGGGTTTAAGGAGTTGCCGAATATAAATGAACTGAAAAGCAAAAAAGAGCAAAAAAACCCAAAAAACCCTTTATAGGATCTTGTAATCCCAGCACCCTGAAAAATTGAGGCAGAGGGTTGCAAATTTGAGCCCAACCTGGGCAATGTAGTGACTACTGAGACACTGTGTCAAACCAAACAAACGTGATCTGGGAATACAGCACAGTGCAAAGGCCCTGAGTTCAATCTTAAGTACCACAGAAATAAATAAACGTCAGAATGTAGAGCAGCGCTGAGCTACATGCGATGTTAATTCTCAGTGCCAAAAAACAGCAAAATCTGCAAACTCTGCCTCTCTGAACAAGGTGCCAGAGAAAAAAATTTGTATCTTCAGATAAACTCAGCCATGTGCTGTTCCCAGTTGCCCGTTTGCCCCTAGGTTCTGGAAACGTCCTTGCAGACCTAAGCCTGTATTGTCTGGCTTAGGTCCCTTGTTCCCTTGGCACCAGGGAACCTTTTGCAAAACTCTCAAACTAGTATGAGGAAAAACTGCTCTCATAGTCTCCTAGGCACTTTTTGTCCAGGCTTCATTTCTAGGAAAATTTGCTTTCCTAAGATAAACTTGTATAATTCAATCAATTATGGTGGTGGGGGTAATAAACTGTGCATGTCCTTACGGAGAAACCATCAAAATAGGTGATTAGTAAACAAACGTACAAAGTGTTAGAAAATACCTCAGTTAAATTATCTATACAGATTGCCATGTGACAACATTATAGCACTGAGAAATGGTAACAACTACTATGAAGGGATTGGAGTAAATTCCCATCAGGAAAACAGGCTATTTATTTGCTTTTTTGCTTTTTTTTTTGGTACCGGGGATTGAACTCATAATCTCGCGCAGGCACTTGTATTGCTGAGCTAAATCCCCGGCCCTATTTATTGTTTTTTGATATAGGGTCCACTTTGCAGTTCGGGAGGGCCTTGAGCTCACTTTGTAGCCCAGGCTGGCCTCAAATGCACAACAATCCTCCTGCCTCAACCTCCTGAGTGCTGGGATTACAGCTGTGAGCCACCACTCCCGGCTAATTTTTCTTTTCTGTTTCTTTTTATTTTGGGGGGTACCGGGAATGAAACTCAGGACATTGTGCTTGCCAGGCAGGCGCTTGTGCTGCTGAACTATATCTCTGGTCCAGAACTACCTTCCTTTCTTTCTTTTTTTTTTTTTTTTTCCTAAGCCCAGAGATGCAATTTTATTACCACATCCTTAATAAAATCTGTAGTTTTATAAATCTGATATTCATTTCTCCTTAGCCACAGTCATGTCCTACATAATAACTTTTTTTTTAATTTTAAAGGGGGTAAAATTAAACACAACAAAACAGAATAAAACAGGACATAAGAAGGCAATGTAAGAGATACAAATTTCAAAGCTAGACGACCTGAGATCTTCGCTATCACATGGTCTCTTGTTTTCTTCCAGATAGTTGTCCATGTCTTTACATACAGAAAGTTCATACAAAACAACATAGTATAAAACTGATCTGAACAGAATGAGGAAGCCGTTTTAGGTTTTCAAAACCAAACAATAGGGAAGTCACTAATGGCTGTCGTAGAGTCTCTCATTCTCTTCAAAATAGCTGTCCATACTTTCATGTATATTGAAGTTCAACAAAACAAAACAGGCTAAAATAACACCATTAATTAGAACAAAGAAACACAAGGATAAAACTATTTGCCTTCAAAGAGATGAGAGAGGGAAATCCCCCCTATTTGCTACATTGCCTGTGGTCAGCCTCTCAAGGGTTGTCCAGATCACTGGCTCCCACTTGCTAAACAGCAGTAGGGGGTGAGGGTGGAGAGGGTGGAGGGGGTCTGGAGTGGGGGGAGAAGATGTGATGTTTGATTCTCAGCTGGCTGGTGGGCTGGCAGGCTCACAGCCTCTCAGCAGGGAGGGGAGAGGTTGCTTGGTTTCCATGGCACTCCAGGTCCCAGCATGGCACAGGTCCCAGTAAACGGCTGGTGGCTCCTGTCCTGGGCCATTGGAGCTTGCTAGGCTCACAGCTGCTCACCAGAGCGGGGAGGGTTTGCTTCAAGCTGTTTGTTTCTAACAAATTGACCATTTCACTGCCCAAGTTCTGAAATGGCCAGCAGACCATAGAAAGACATGTCTTTAGGCTCCTGCTTGAAACCAACAGTGTCAGGAAGCTGCCGGCCTTAATTCAAGGCCAGAGAACTACCTTTCTTAAATCCTGGATCAGATGGGTCTGCCTGAGGGAGCCCAAGAGAGAATAACATGGAGGAGCTCCAGAGGTGAGGGTGACAGCCCAGGGACCACTGCACGTAGGAGAGAAAGGCTACCCAGGCCATGCAACAGAGTGGCTACTTCTACTACTGCTTGGGCTTCTTTTTCCTCTTCACCTTTTTCTCTTTCTCCTCATTCCTCTCTCCCTCCTGCTCCTTCCACTGCATGCTGAGGCTAAAACCCGGGGCCTCACATATGCTAGGCAAGAGTTACTTGAGCCACAACCCTAGCTCTTAGAACTTCTCAAGGGGTCTAAGAATTGGAACAACTTCTGACTCTTGTGTTTAACCCTAAAAATGATGATGGCAAAAAAAAAAAAAAAAAAAAAGACTTGCAAGGGGCTGGGGATTTAGCTCAGCGGCATAAGTACCTGCCTTGCAAGCAGGTGGTCGTGAGTTCAATCCCCAGTACCGATAAAAATTAAAAAGACAAAAAAAAAAAAAAATGATGATGGCACTGGAGCTGGAGATAAATTTTAAAATCTTGCTTTCTCCCTTTCTTTCCTCTCCGCCTCCAGCAATAGATGTCATAACGCTGAATTGTGTCTCTCTCTCCTGAATATTAGTATGTCATAGTTCTAACCCCCAGTACCTCACTTTATATTCGAAGATTGGGCCATTAAAGAAGTAATTAAGGCAAATGAGGTCCTTAGGCGAACCTTAATGCAATATGGCTGGTTTTATTGTAATAAGATGTCAGGACACCAATGAGCAGAAAACAAGACGGTGAAGACACGGGGTAGAGGTGGCCACCTGGAAGCCAGGGAGAGAGGCTGTTACAGCTTGTGTCTAGATGGCCCCCCACACCTCATGTGGTCGTCGATGGTGGTTTTCAGAGGTGGACAGCATGTGTGCTGCCGGGATCCAGGATGTGCTGCTGGGATTGATTCATGGTGTGATGCTAGGGCTGAGGCTGCCGCACAGTGGGCGTGAGTGCCACCTGCCCTAAGGGTGGGTACCCTGGAGAGGATGTAAGGGACAGGAAGGGAGTCATCACTTGCTGCTTGTGCCTTCTCCCTGCCCTGCTTTGCCATGGACCATTCCTTTGTGGTGCCCCTCTGCCGTGCCACCCTGCCTTGAAGCCAGGACTGCAGCCTCTTCAAGCTGTGAGACCAATAAACCTTCCCTGCTCTAACTTTGGGTGTTGGGTATTTTGTCTCATAAATGAGAGAAATAACTAAGACAGAGAGCTTGGGAGAAACAAATCACAAGGACACATTGATCTCAGGTTTTTAGCCTTCAGAATTGTGAGAGAATAACTTTTTATTATTTAAGCCGCTATATTGTGTATAGTAGTTCATTTTGACAGCCTGAGCAAACCAATATAATCAGTTTTCACACAGATTTTACCTTCCGACCGTCTACCTCTGGTCTCCCTGGTCTCCTCCTCAGAGAAGATCGTTTCAAATAGATTTTGCAGATGCATAAGTCGGGCGTGTGTGCCTTCTGTGTCCCCCACCTTATACACAAAGGCCAGTCCAGGAGATTGTGGCTCTGCCGCTGGCTTTTTCCATGTTATGTAAAATGATGATAAGGATATGAATACCATAAATCCTTCCCAGTCAGCACAGGAAGAGCTTTCTCACTGTCTTTTACCCTTGTGTAACAGGGAATTGGCTTTTCATGAAATGTGTGGATTAGATACTGATAATATTACATTTTGAGGTTAGGTTCAGAAAGATGTAGCTTCTTATGCTTATCACTTAGATTGTGATAAAGAATAAGGAGAAAAAAGAAAGCTCAGAAGGGAGGAAATAGTGTGTGAGGGGGAAGAAAGGAGAGGTAAGTGTGTATGTGAAATTTTAGGGTGACATTCCATTTTTTGTTGTTGTTGCTGAGACAAGGTCTTGCTATGTAGTTCAGGCTAGCCTCAAATTCAGAGGAATCCTCCTGCCTCAGCCTCTCAAGTGCTGAGATTACAGGTGTCTGGCACCACGCAAAACAGGATGAGACTCCTTGAAAGGATATTTTAAAGTATTTATTTATTTATTTAAATTATCGGTACCGGGGATCGAACTCACGACCGCCTGCTTGCAAGTCAGGTGCTTATGCCACTGAGCTAAATCCCCAGCCCAGAAAGGATATTTTTTTTTCCTCTCTCTTTCCTGCTTTCCTTTCCTTTCTTTTCACTTTCTTTCTTTTCTTCTCTTCTGTCTTTCCTTTTTTTCCCCTTCCCTTCTCTTCCCTTCCCTTCCTTTCCTCCTTTCTCAGTACTAGGGATTGAAGCTGCAGAGCGCTGAGTTACATCTTTAGCCCTCTTTATTGTATTTTGAGAGGGGTCTTGCTAAGTTGTGCAGGCTGATCTCAAACTTACACACTTCTGCCTCAGCCTCCGCCGTAGCTGTGATTAACAGGCATGTGCTGCCACACTCAACCAGAAAAGAAGACTTCTGAGCGGCAGCTCGGGATGAGGGTCAAAAGCATTCTCGGCAACCAGTATAAATGTCTTAGGATACAAACAGGTACATTTGTTAGAAAGCTGTTGCAGG